GTTGGAATTGTCTCGATGAGCTGAATCTAATGGCATTTGTTTTATTTAATTTGGATCGATAGAACAAAAGTTATTAAAAATTTTGTGTTATTTCTTAATATTCTATATGTCAACAATATATATATATAGGACTTTATTATTTATTTATAATAAATAAGATATAATTTACTTTTAAGATCAGACATTTTTTGCCATTTTTATTTATATCTTCAATAATATAGAAATTCTCAGTAGCAAGTACTACATCTTTATTTTCAAATTCTGATAGATCTAACTCTTAATCCATATCATAGAGATAAAACCTAAGCAAGATAATGTTTAGGAGAGAATTTAGACTTTATAACCTTACAATACCTGAAGCTTCAATGATAGAAAAGTTTCTAGTGTTATAAGTTCTTTTATTATAACTTGTTACATAGCATAGAATAGAAATAGAAGCTAGCATTTTTTTATTTTTTTTTTTAAGTGAGAACAGAATATATGATTAGAAGGTATAAAAATCAGTACTATTTATTAATAAATCACTTGTAATTTTATATTATTCTAATACTTTTTTATAATTATAAAAATTTGATATTAGAGTAAAGATAAAGTAATAGCATTTAATGATGTATTTTAGAAACCTGTTAATTAAATAAAAGTATTCTAAAAATTCAATAGTAGAATAGAGATAAATAGCATATAATGGTATATTTTAGAAACTTGTTAATTAAACAAAGATATTTTAAAAAGAAGATTGTACAGAAGTAATTGAAAAGTGTATATTTTTATATAAGAATTTTTTTAATACTTAACCTGAAAAAAATTTTTAAAGTGTCTAACTTGTTTGAAGCAAAATCTTCATATGACTAAATTTTTTTTCATATAATACTAAGCCAGGTTCTTGTTTAAAATTAGCAGTTTATTATTATATAGCCACAGAGTTAAATAATAATTATGAGAATTTGGATACTTAATATATTCACTGATAGTTTAACTATATATAGGTTATTCCTTGTTGAATTTTTTTTTGTATAAAGTAAGAAGTTTAGATAAATTTTTTTGTAATATTGTTTTATCTTATTGAAATTATGTTATTAATTATTATAGTTGCTATGTTTAAAGGAAACTTAGTATATTTGTTATCAAAGGTTAGCTTTGAACTATCAATATTATATATGTATTTATAAAAGAAGGTTTTATAATTATTTGTTAGAATATATGTGAGAGTTTTTAATGCAGGGAATACTTTTAGTATGCAACTTTAATTTTAATTAGATGATACAAGATATTTGTTATTATCTTATTAAGGTTTACTAATTAAAAGGTTAGCTAAAGTTAGGTTTACTTTTTTGATGCAGTTAGATTATTATCTATATAAAGATATCAAGAATACAATTTATGTAGTATGTTAATCATATATTAAATTTAACCTTTATTAATTAAAATATATAATTACTACTCAATTTTAGCTATACACAATATAATAAAAATAATGATGAAATAAAATCCTATTTACAAAATAAAGAAAAAATAGAAAAAAAGGAATAAAATAGATAGAAATATAATCAAAATTTTTCTGTGATATAGTACAATTTTTAATTTTTCTAATTTAGTTAATCAGTAAGCATATAACTCATATAGGATACCAATGTATGAATGAATTAAATATTGATATATCATAACACATTTAGATAATCACTAGACTAACTATTATATAATTTATACTGATTTAGAAATGAATTCTAATTATTAGTTACTTTCTTGAACAAACTTGTAATAGATCAGATATCTTATAATAGAAACTTATGAAATAATCAAGTGGGAAAAAAGATTATGCATACAAGTTTGTTTAAGAAAGTAACTATAATTACTAAAATTTATTTTTAAATCAGTATAAATTAGATAATAGATTGAGTATCTTATAATAGAAACTTACGATCTAATAATGTTGTAATGCAAATAATAAGGTGAGAAAAAAGATTATGAATACAAGTTTGTTCTAAATCAGTATAAAATTAAGGGAATGGGTGCAGTTTAGAGTTACTTTTTTGATGTAGTTAGAGTTAGTAGTTTATACAAATATCAAGAATACAATTTATGCAGTATGTAGATCAATATATAAACACACCTAGCTTTAACAGACTTGTGAATAAATTGATTTTTAAGGATTTTTGACTACGATTAAGTCAAAAACTAATTTTGAAAATGATACAATGATAAATTATAAATTGATTTGCTAATATTTAAATCTAATGATATTGGATTATAATAGTACTATTTATTTCATGTAGAGTTATGGCATTCGTTATTTTCACAATTTTTTACATTATATTTTAGAGTAGTTGATTAGCCTCATGATCATATGACTGAAATTTGAATTTAGAAATGATTATCAAACTCTCATTATGATTATTCATTTATAGTCTTTGACGATCAGCGATTATCAATTAATCTGTTCGATAAAAAATCTGATAGAAAAAAAAGAAAAATAAGAGATGCTGATGTATATTCATAAGTTCAAATAGAAAGTTAATAAAAAAAGATTAAAATGAAGCTTTTATTTATTATCAATTGATGTCGTATCAGATTTTTTTTAACTAACGTGTAGTAAGTATGATAGTTATAGCTAGTGATGAGCAAATCACGAATTTTCAAAATATCCCGCGCGGGATGCAGGATCCGCGCGTGATCCGCGCGGGATACGCGAATACGCGGGATAGAAATTATCAATTGCCAATTTTTCTAGCCTAAATTATGGTTAATGCGAGCTGAGTGATCTAAATAGTAAAAATCCCACGCGGGATCCAAAAAAATCCCGCACATCACGCGCGGGATCACGCGCAGGATCACGCGCGGATCACGCACGTGCCCATCACTAGTTATAGCTATAGCTATAGCTATATCAATATCAATATCAATATCAATATCAATATCAATATCAATATCAATATCAAATATAAATAGAAAAACCACTAAGTTGTAGTAAATTAACTTCGCTACAATTTTGTGTCCTTTTTGTATATTTAATAAATTATTTTAGCCTTTAAGTGTTATGCTTTTATTTCAAATATCTGAGCTATCACATACATAATATTCACAATATGGGCCTATACAGTATTGTATGATTAAAGATGAAATAAAAATTCAATAATAAATTAGGTTAAATAATATATTGTGTTGCAAATTATATGTTCTTACATTTGGCATCACAATAGTGAAAGCCGCCTTCATCATGAGAATGTTTTCCCTCGTGATGAAAGGCATTAGGTGGAATTTTCTTGCAGCATTTAATCCTTTCACTTAATTGAATAAACTGTGTAATAACGTCATGGAGATTAAATTTTTATGGCAAAAATTCATTCTAGCATGATTGACATCATACCTTGGTAAATGTAAAAGAAGTTCCTTGCACTAAACCATGATAAACTTCCTCTTGTTTTTTCGGTTCATTTATAACTCTGCAAACTCCTAATTCTTGGCAATCATCTTGGCATTGATGCTCATTACTTTTTTACAATAACATAAAAACATGATTTAGCAAAAACCTTAAACATATGATAAAATAATTCTCACAAGGGCATACCCGCAAAAATGAATTTGTTGTGGCTGCAAAGCATGAAAGTGATCTGTACTCTGACACCGTCGTTGGCAATCAGGAATTGGACATTGAATTGGACATGCAGAGTCATTTTCACAGCAATGTTGTTCATGTTCATCCTCACAAGGGATAATGCATTTATTAGGGCATTTATAAAAACCCTTTTTAGTATTGGCTTGTAAAGAACAAGGTGCACCACAATTATGACGCTTTGATTGACATATATGTTCTTCATCTTCATGGCCTATTTCTTTTGCACATTTCTTTTGGCAATTACGCTTTTCACTGAATTTACACGGTTTACCACATAGATGATTTGTCTATTTATAAATTTAAAAAAATTTATATTAATTAAATTATTTAGAATGAAGATATTTTTAATTTTTAATTCTTATTTAATGACAATTAATAAAAATTTTTTTTTTTTTTTAAATTACCGTATTACATGCGTGTTTTCCATCATGTCCTGCTTTGTGACTGCATCTTGGAAATAACCCATTCGAATGTGCATCAACGAATTCGCAAGTTGCATAACAATTATGATCTGTCAAACAGTCATGCGCATCTTCATGATGTCGATTTTTCAGACATTTTAAATTACACTCCTGACAGGAAAGGCCACATAATGTCCAAAGCAGTGAAATTCTGTTGATCAACTGATCTAGTGCATATGCACCATCTTTAACATCACTATTATCAGGCGAAAACTTGCTGGTATTTTGTTGAAACCATTCTTGTACACGATTAATTCGCCGCTGAATAATAAATTTAAAGAATTTTGATAATTTTTCAAACCATTCAGTATCATTAGAACAATCTCTGCGATTTTGTACTTTGTCTTCAAAGTAAATTCTCAAATCAGCTGATAATGGTACAAAATCAGTATTTTCATCTAAAAGACGAAGATCTGAATCCAAAATCAATTCACATTCATCCTTAATGTCATCAAAAATTTCAATTAGATTTATAAATTGATCGAGAATTATTTCACCAGTATCGTGATTCTGAAATTTAATATGCAATTAAAGTCATTATCATTATCATAACAGTTTTACGGATTTTTTAAACTACAAAGTAATATACCGTCAGATGTTCTATTGTATTCGTTTTTTCCTCGATACCAAGAGATATTGCAATATCAAGCAATCTTTTCAGTGTAGATACACGGATTTGTACCAAATTCTCATCTAAAGAACCCCAATCACAGATCTATAAAATTTACAGTTTTTGAATTTGCAACCTCATACTTAAAAGATTACCGATTATATTTAATTGAATAGGCAGTACTTACCTTTAATTTAGCCATAAATACTTTTGTATTTTGCAAAAATGTTCGCGCATTCTCATATTTTGCCTCTTGTTTATCTAGCATCTTTTTGATATCTCTTAAACTCTTAAACCACTCAGGATTATTAAACATTGGCCAAGGATTTATATTTAAACCGCCAGGATACATTTTTGTTATAAAGTTATTTTCTCCTTCCTATAAAATATTTAACAAATGTCTAATCTAATATAAATTATTACCGTATACTCGCAAAATAACACATTTTAAAGTACTCCCATGAGATTATTTCGAAATAAGGGTCAATTTTCGACCCCATTTATTTGTAAATTCTAAATCTTATATGTTATACGAGGTGCTCATTGTTTCAAAATTATGTATTTTTAAAAGATCTGATTTTCGAAATAGCACCTATGTCCGTCATTTTGCGATTATACAGTGTATATGATTTAAGATAAAAGCACCGACCTGCATAACCATTGTTCTGAATCTCAGAGAAAATTCTGATACAATCCCATCACGATCTTGTTTAGGTACATCTTTAATTATGATGCAAAGTTTCGCCTAAAAAACAATTAAGATTAAGATCAAATGAATTGAATTAGCCAATATTATTTAAACAAGCATTTGAAAATTATTACCTGGAATATTTTTTCATCGTTTAATAATGTAGCACCATCTTGGAATCTTTGGAACATTGTTGACATATCCCTGTTGACAGCAAATTGATTCTATAATTAAGGTAAATATGGATAACAAATATTGTTAATATAAAAATAGGTAAATAAATTAACAATCTTAGTAACAATCTTACCTTGAAAAGAATAAGGTTTGATATCACAGTGTTGAATAATGTTAAAAACGTATCTGTGTGTTATTATTAAAAAAAAAAATACATTATTATCGCTTAAACCTCTACATAATCATTCGAAAATAGGCATTCATTCTTGATTTGAACTACCCTCTTGTGGTGACCGTTCAAGAGATTTAAGTCCTTCAAAATCCAAGGCGACATAAATACATTTTTTGGTAATCGCTAAATTGAAACAAAATCAGTTTACATCGTATAACAACCATTGAAAAATAAAGTTAAATATACCTAAGGACATCCATACTCCTTCAGTACAGCGCTAAAATAGCGAGACAATATTTTTTTTAAAGATTTTTATAAAAAAATCGACTTTATTAAAAAACTTACCATTGCTGAGCCATCAAATGTTGTTCCAATTAAATGGTTTAACATATATCTAAAGATAACATTATTTATTATTAACCTTTTATCACTTAATGTTAAGGCCATTTATACTTACGATTTTCCACAAGACCTTTTTTATCATAAAAGAGTTGTTTTGATAAATATATTGACCTGCAATACAATATATAATAACAATTTTGAATAATGAATCTCTTACTGTTCTCCCATGCTTGAAACAACTTTTACTAGCCTATCGCCAAAATATTTAAATATTCCCTCATACCATCCAAAACTGAAAAAATAATAATTTTAGAAATTTCTAAATATTATCATTAGTTAAAGAATAACTTAAATAACAGACCTAATATTCTGTGCAATTCCATCAACACTTAATGCCCCTGAATTAACAAGTTCTGCATCAAATGATGTTAAACCATTGCAAAGTGGCTGAAATATATTGTTTCTTGCAACAGCAATTTGTATTGGAATCAAAATGCAAAGTTGAATTATCCATTCTCCTAATTGATTTTTCTTAAGATCACTTAATTCATCATTCAAGTCCTCTAGATCAAAATCCGAAAAAGATAAACATGATAATACAAATCTGTAAACAAGGATTATCTTGTAATTACGCATAAATTAGATATTTAAAGAAAAACAAACCAACTGTCAAAATTTAATTACCGCTTTATAGAAGTTGCAGGTTTGTTTGTTGATCTTTTTAATTCTTCAAACATATCTGCTACATAATCTTGAAATTTATTTTCATAATTTGATATCTTTTCATTATCCTTTAATTCTAATGCTATTTGTAAATTTAATGTGCGATTTTGATCTGGATCTATAATATTATCAATGGGATACTTTTCAAACATTGATTTATATGCATCGACGAATCCATTAAGCTTCGTCTTAGGTTCAATACGAAATTCCATCCAAGAATCAATGCCAATCATACACTGAAATATCCCAGAAACTTTCAGCTTTATATCAGAATATACTTTCAAAACAATTCTTTTTTCTCCCATAATAACAAGATTTTCTCCTTTTTTGACATCACGCATAAATGAAGTATCATCGCCTTCTAGTTCCATATCTCGAGAAGAATTTTTAATTGCTCTAACTTTTCCAAGTGATCGTTTATTAAATTTTTGTTGAAAACTGTATTGTGTTTTCTCATGCGTAATTCTAATAATTAGGGATTGAAATATTCCTGCATGTATATCAAATGTTGTAAGATTAATTTGATTTTCAATGCAAGAAAATTGAATAAACTCCAAGGTTGATATAATTGGGGGCAATTGAATTACTAGACAAAGAAAAAATTTTATTATAAGTTACTACATTGAAATTTGGAATGGTCAATAATTATATATTGTGCTGACCTTTACTAGCTGGTCTTCCAAAACCTGAAGAAAAATAAATATATGCACGTTTTATTGCTAATTCGTGTGTGTTGTTAGGCTCATTAGTTGAATCTTCTGTATCACTATTTGAAGCTGTATCACTAATCGATATGTCAGACTCATTATCCTGCTCATTAAGTATATCTTCGCTTGATGGATTTTCATTTGATGGATTTTCTTCTGATGCATTTTCTCCTGATACATTTTCTTCAACAAAAGCTACAATACAAGAGCCATCTGGAGTGCAGACAATATTACTAGCATTCTCTGGAAAATGAGCTGTTCCTGGCAAAAACTGGTTGGTGACCAAATTAAATATCCTTGCCTGACCATCGGTTTGTACAAAGCAAATTTCTTCTTTGTCTTTGATGAAGAATAAAAATTTGACATCAGGTATGTTATTACCATACCATGCACAAATTTGAACACCTCCAGTTCGTTTATAAAATTGTTGGCTTTCATCAATGACATAAACGTCTAACTATTAAAGTATAAAATATCAAAATATAATATAATCGATAAACATGATACAATGCAAAAAATAAAACATACCACTCCTATTTTGGTTTGATATATTCCAATCATGCCTTTTGGCTCATTTACTGCGATAAGACATTGTTCTTCTGGATGTAAAGTCTTAGGCTTTCTATATACAGTTTCTTCTAATTGAATTGGATTATATAATGTTCTTTTCAAAGTTTCGTAATAAATTTCAAGCCGTTTTTGATTGATATTCCATAGGGCAATAAAGTATTTATTGTTTTCAAATAATGCTATTTTTCTTTTTTTTTAAAAAAAAAAAAATTTTATGTCAGTTTATAATAAATTTTTATTCAACAATCATCGAATATATCTTTCACCTTAGCTCATAGGTTTGCGGATTAATTAGAAAGGAAAAACAATTATTATGATGATACATGTCAATTGTGGGATTAGAAACATGTAATTCATCCTGCCTCAAATTCAGAATGTCACTTTGATCAAGACTTGTATTATAGATTGTATATTGTAATTGTTCAGGTTCAATTTCTTCTAAATGATAAGTAACAACGAGACCGTTACCGTAGGAAACTATGGAATTATTAAAAGAAGTCAGTTATTATTATTATTAATCTATTCATTATTTATGGTAATATTAATTAAATAATTACCATCATGAACTTTCTCGATTTTAAATATAGGTCTTTAAAAATATAATTTTTTTTGAAGATTCATTAAATAAATTTGTAAATTTGTAAATTGATAAAATATATAGTAATAATGAAAATTACCCGTCAGAATATTTTTTTTCAATTACTTCACAAATTCTGGGAAATTCCCTATCATTAATTTGTTTTTGATTTAATTTACTTTCATCTTCTAGCCTTGAATTAATATCTTTTGATTTATCGGAATATTTTGGTATACTTTTTTTCATCTTTGAGTAGAATGTATCATTTCTCCATTCTTGATATGCATCTAAAAAGCGAGATGTAATCTGATGTTTCGTGATTTCGTCAACATTCTCAAACTTATAACTATGGAGGTCCTGAATAAAGTGACTATCAGTTTTCTGTTTAATTCTAGTATCTATGTTTGAAATAATGTCTCTAATATTAAAATCATCAAAGGTAAAAATTTTTTTAAGAAATTTTGACAAAAAAAATTCATTTGTGTCATCTTTATGTTGACTTTTTTTTTTCTGTTCCTGGAAATATTTCGTTACTATTTTGTGAAAATCAGTCTCTTGGTTAACTAATAATTTATACAACTCTTTAATTGCCTCATTTCTATCATTATTATCTTGAACTGTTTCATTTCCTTCAACAACGAGCTGTGTATCTATAATATGTAAGATGAATTCAAACAATTTTCTCAATTCTATCCAATTTTCTGAAGTGATTTTCAAAGCGGTATTAATTTTTTTATTTATATTAGGGTATTTATCATGAATTTTTTTTAAATCTTTACGTAAAAAAAGACAAGTATTATAAATAATTTTTTATAAATAAATGGATTAATAAATATACAGTATATATATATATAATATACGTTAACATTAGTACCTGTGTCGTTTTGGATTTCTGAAACTCCATCAATTGGCATATGAGAGCTATTAGTCTTGTTTGTAGAAATAAAATCTTCAAAAGCACTACAATATTCGGTAAAAATTTACTGAAATATACATTTTATATAAAAGATTTCGAATGGTTGTTATTCATACCTGTATGTTTCTTTTAACTTATTCCAAAACATATTTTCGATAATTTTTCCGTCTTCACTAATAATATTTCTTTCATTTCCTTTTCTTTTCTCTAGAGCTAATCTTTCGGCTGCCAATGCATCGTTCAATGGGCTTAAGAGTTCATTTTCCAACTCAACAAATCCAAATTTAATTAACCTTTTCAAATAATCAACACGCATTTCACGGGCTATGAGAAGTGTATGACCTTCAATAATTTTGTGAAATTCGGATTCAGAACGAACAGTTTTATAATATTTATTAGTTTTTGATTTTGCTCGCACTTTCTTCACTGTAGCAAATGCCTGATGAAAAGTTGACTCGATGACTAAAGAAATTAAATATCAAGAAACATATAGATTAGTGTCTAAAAATTTTTTATATTAATTTGATATAATTATTAAAAATTTACTAAATGGTAACGGGCAATCAGTATTATCAACATCAATTTCACGCTTAATTTCAGAAGGCAACTTGATCTTTATAAGCAAACACGACGTTAATATGATTTCCAAGTAAAAACAGTATATAATATAAAAACACAACCTTAAATCCAGGATAAGGTATAAAATCTTCTTTTTCTTCCTGACTCTTCATGACTTCAAACTCAACACCTGTTCCTTCAGTTTCTTCATCTGAATCTTCTTCTTCCTCTTTACCATTCCAATTAAAACTTTCTAAATCACTTTCACTTATTAAGCAAATTTGATGGTCTGTAAGTTTAGTAAGATATCTACAGAATAAGACGACAATAAGTAACTTGTTAACATTAATTAGATTTACAGTAAATACAGAAGTAACTGTATACAGAATGTATCTCACTAACCTGTGCAAATTTATCATATTTTTCTTTTTATGAGAAGGTGCATTTTCTTCATAACATCCAAGTTCAGGCCAATGAATCACTAGACCTAAGTCAACGTTTACTCTAAGCAGATAAATTCCAGGACGAAGAGTAGGTTTACCCTCATGGGCCTGATTAGCATCAGAAGAATCCAAACAGGTAAGGTAGTTATAGCTGCAATTACGATAATTATGATTTAATAAATTAAAACATTATTATAAATCTTGTCACTTAAATGCTTACTCACATTTGTTTATTAATTATATTATTCCTCAATAAAAGGTTCGCGATTAATACATGGTTACCATAACAACCAATGAGCTTTAACTTGGTATGATTCAATTTTGCGTAATCGATATTAGAAATCGACTTGAAGCTATCTGGCTTTAAATCGTTGCAAAGTTTTTTCAACGACTCAGTAGAAATGATTATCTTGTCAACTTAAAAAAAAAAAAGAATAAATTGTTGATTACTAATAAACTTTTATTATTATTTTTTTTTAAGAAATGTAACCTACCGCGTCCGTTTGATCCATCATCTTTACACAAATCGAGTAAACGATATAGCCCTGGGATGGTATTAGACAAATCTGAATTATGCATTTTTTTTTTTTTTTAAAAAAAAAAAAAACATATACGTTTTCATTTCATTTAGAAAGATTATAATAAATAATTGTTTGTCATTCATTACATTAGTATACTTTATTTAATATTTTTTTTTTTAATGCTTACCAGTTACTTCTCCAAAATTTTCGAACATTTGAAATAGAATATCTCTTTTTCTGTCGATATCAAAAAAACAAGGATAACTAAGTTCTTCTACCTTATCTATTTATCTTAAAATTCTCTCATACGCGGTCAGATCCCCGAAATGTAGTCCTCGAAATGCAACACCCTAAATGTAGTCATCGAAATGCAACACCCTAAATGCATTAAAGGAAAATTATATGGCCGTGACATTTAATTTCTTATAACAAACGATAATTCAGGAAAACTGGGACAATTTTATCACCGTTAGAATTATAAAGACTTTTTCTATAGCGATAGCTTTTATTAGATCTAATTTTAATCAAATAAATACTATATCACATGACTAACAGTACTGAAATTTTATTTAATTGCATCCCTCCCTTAAATGCATGGTCAAAAGTTTATCCCAACAGTTTACATCGAGTCGGCCAGGGCGGCCCCCCAAAGTGCCAGTGACGTAATCACTTCCACCAATCAAATATATATTAACAATAAGTAATACTTATTGTTAATATATATTGTGTTATCTGATTGGTGGAAATGATTACGTCACTGGCACTTTGGGGGCCGCCCTGGCCGACTCGTTTACATTTAGAGAGGGAGGTCTGGCTGTACTGTCGCAAGTTTTATAGATCATTCCGAATATGGAATCAATAGGATTTGATACGTATGGACCATTGTTTCCACATATGGCATTTATTACTATTTCCAGACTTTTGCAGGTTTTCAGAATTTTTAAAAATGTTTGATAAGAAATTGAAATGGGTATGGCGTAACTAAAGATAATGCGCGAAATTGATTATGCATAGAATTTTGATTGATATCTTTTTCTAATGCTAATTGTAATTGAAGTTATTATTGATTTTACACTAATCGAAATACGTATAATAGGGTGATTCGGATTTCGAATTAAATTAGTGATGTGATTCATAAATCTTATTTATTTTGATTTGTAAGCTTATTTATATAGTAAATGATCATGTAGGCGGCGAAGCCGCCTTGAATCAATAGTAAAATAGTTATATTAGTCGATTGAACCCAAGTAGAAATGGAGTGCTGCAAAAATCTGTAATTAATAATTATGGTTTTCATTTCAGAGAACTTAACCCTTGTTAGAATTGTGATATTATTGTAGATAATTAATCACTATATAATCTTTTCGATAATTTGATATTTGTATTGTTATTTTAGCAATTATTATATAGTGTGAACCGGGAAATGTAACCAGGCCGGACCCCGTCTGAGGTCATTTGGACAATCCGCAGTGTATATTTCGGTTACGCCGATCCTTGACTTTTATAGGGATCCCGGCATTATAATCATTATAATGATTATAACGATTTTAATAATTATAATAATTATAATT